TTGTGGAACATATTGTCTGATTGTGCTTTTAGCTCGATAATATTAGCTTGATTGCTAATGCAGACAAATTGCTAGCTAGCTAAATAAATAAAATAAATAAAATAAATAAAATAAATAAAATAAATAAAAAATACTGTCAGCTAGCTTCATCTGGCTGCCTCGTCATTGGCAGGCTGGTATTGCAGGGCGGCTGGTGCCAGGTAATGTTATTCAGTTAGCTTCCCCAGCTAACGTGGCCCATGATACTATCTTGTGTATTCTGACAAACAGTATTGATTGATGTAACAGTACAAAGCTAATGGTGAGCGAGGCAGGGTCATCCAGCTAGCTAACTGTAGCTAAGCTAAGCTGACGGTGGTTGTTTCTCCTGCAGATCCTCTGAGCGGTGTGATCGAAGGAATCAGTGCCGGCATGTTCCTCATCGTGATGATGGTGGGAGTCACCGCTCTGCTCGTGTGCAGACAGAAGGCTCGTAAAGTGTGAGTGTCTGCAGTGTCTGTACCAAAATGAAAGAAATTAACCGTCCAATCACAGCTTGGGGGGCGGGGCTACATAACGGTAGAGTCATACGCATACACTAAGCTCTGCCCCCAGGCTGTGATTGGTTGTCGTCAGCTGGACACTGAACATAAAACAGCTCCTATTTAAACATGTAATGAGGCTGTAATTGGACAGCAGTGCAGGTAAATAATGGTAAAGGTAATCAATAACAGCTAATCAATAACAGCTAATAACTGCTGTGTGTTTCAGTGTGGAGGAGAGAGCTACAGTCAGAATGAGTGTGAGGAGAGAGAGACCCACATCAGGAGTTCACCTGGGGGTCAGAGGGTAAGAACAAACTACTGAATACTTTTATTAGTATTGTTAGTAGTATCACTATTATTACTACTGAATACTACTAAATATTACTGAATACTACTGAATATTACTAAATATTACTGAATATTACTGAATATTACTAAATAATACTAAATATTAATAAATATTACAGAATACTACTGAATATTACTAAATACTACTAAATATTACTGAATACAACTGAATATTGCTAAATATTACTAAATACTACTGAATATTACTAAATATTACAAAATACTACTGAATATTACAGAATACTACTGAATATTACTAAATATTACTGAATATTACTAAATATTACTAAATATTACTAAATACTACTGAATATTACTAAATATTACTGAATACTACTGAATATTACTAAATATTACTAAATACTACTGAATATTACTAAATATTACTGAATACTACTGTCTCTAGTGATACTTTTACTACTAAGATAATAATGAGATTGTAAACTACTACTAACACTAATACTTATACAACTAAGTATAACTAAGATTAATATTTAAACTGAACAATCATTGTAATATGACATCACAATATCAGTAACAAACATTCTCAAAATATTATTAAAAAGATAATTATTGAAAAACCTCTTCAATATAATAATATCAAAATATCTCTTTCACATAGCAATTAGAATACAAAATAACATATATACCAGTCAGCAGACACATTTTGTGTACCCTCTGCCATGTGATGGCATGTTTAGACACATCACAAAATAAAATGTAACACTCAAAGATAATTCAAATATGGATGATGTGCTTAATATGCACAGATACAAGTGCTAAATCAACACATTCCACAGTTCAGCGTGTAACAATTATGCAAACCAACATATTACACAGCATTGGATTAATTTTACAGCTTTAAAAATATAAAGCTAATGGTTTTAGCATTAGTGAATGGCGTCTGCCATTGTGCTAGTTAGCATCTCAGCTAGGGAGCGTGTGAGCTAACGTTAGCAGCTAGCACTTAGCATGGTAAAAAGGAGACAGAGCAGATATCGTTCTCGACGCAGGGTTTGCTCTCTTTTCTCCCAGCAGCTCAAGGTGAAGTGAACTCTGCTCCGTGCAGGTCAACAGTCCGAGCTTCTTCCTGATTGGCTGACAGCACGTCTCCAACCCATCTCCTTCAAAATAAACTTCGTATTTATCTTCTTTTTAATATAGATTTTTAACCTTGGTTACAAATACAAATACTTTACAGCTGATTATTGATCAGTTTGGATCATTGAGATTAATGACATTATGATGACATCAGGCCGAGGTGTGTTTGTTTTCTCTGTCACTAACTCGTGTCCTTCCTTCTGTCTCTCAGTAACCGTCGGATCTCAAGGTGAGGAATTCAGGTTGTTTATTGTTATTTAACTTCCTGTTTGTTTTCAGGTTGTTTATTGTTTATTAACTTCCTGTTTATGTCCTTCAGTCCCATCAAGATCCAGAACTTTGAGAGCCACTACAGCAAACTGCAGGCCGACTCCAACTACCTGCTGTCAGCGGAGTACGAGGACCTGAAGGACGTGGGTCGGAATCAGCCTTTGGACTCGGCTCTGCTGCCGGAGAACCGTGGCAAGAACCGATACAACAACATCCTGCCCTGTGAGTGACAAGCTCACATTCAGGGAAGAAGAAAAGTGAACTTCCTGTTTGTTAATGAATCTGGTTTCTGTGTTTAGACGACTCCACCAGGGTGAAGCTGTCTTACGTGGACGATGATCCGTGCTCCGACTACATCAACGCCAGCTACATCCCTGTGAGACCCACACCCAACATGGCTTCCCCGTCAGACATAACGCCCTTCGAACTGTCCATTATCAGTAAATAGTACGGACGGCATGGAATCCATTCATTCCTGATAATGGACACCTGGAAGGCCTTTGTCTCTCTTATACCATTAGTCTATTTCCCCACTGAGGACCAAAATTGTTGAGTACAGAGTTTAATGTTAGGAATGTTCAGATATTTCTAGTTTTCTCTGCTGCCGACATGTTTCCTGTAAACGATGTGTAACAGGCGGTTCGTACAGACACAGCAGGAGCTCTGTTGTATGCTGAACTCAGCTTTAATGTTCCTCTAGACTAGTGTCCTGAGATGACTTCTGTTATGAATTGAACGCTATACAAATAAAATTGAATTGAAAATTGAATTGAATTCCTCCTGTCTGTTTTCAGGGAAATAATTTCCGTCGGGAGTATATCGCCACGCAGGGTCCTCTGCCGGGAACCAAAGATGATTTCTGGAAGATGGTTTGGGAGCAGAATGTCCACAACATCGTGATGGTGACTCAGTGTGTGGAGAAAGGCAGGGTGAGTAAATTAAACACCAGGTGTAGTCGGGGTGAGGGCTGCTGACTGTACCTGTGTAAAACTGTAAAAAAGAAATATATATTTAGTGTGTTCGTCTGCTCCTGTTTTATGACTTTGTGGAACGCGTAGATTTCACATAAACAGACGTAGTTCAGTTTATCTGACAGGGAGACGAGCTGTGATCACTTATACAGAGACATCACATCCACTGGTGGACTCGAACCCAGACCGTCCATTGTGGATGGCAGAAAAAACATGTCTCTAGGGTTCCTTTCCAGTGGATAAAACATGATAAAGAGCCATCTGGGGTTCCCTTCCAGTGGATAAAACATGATAAAGAACCATTTGGGGTTCCCTTCCGATTCAATTCAATTCAAATGTATTTGTAT